GTTTCTCCATCTATAAACCACAATCATGCAAGTAACATCTTACCACTAAGATACCTATTTATGTAAGCACAGGCTTAATCACTTAGATATAAGGCATTCAAAAGGTGTTATTAGGGCATGTTAAGACTTATTAAGGCATAACACAGCATTCTAAAGACACCGCAAACTCCAGCAGTGCAACAATGAAAAGAAACTGCAGCATCAGTGTCTTCAATTTCAAAACCTAAATACACAGAACATGGCAGAAATCTGCCTGTGCACTAGAAGAAGCCCCATTCGTCAAACCTATTTTTCTTGCCACACTAGCTTCCAACAGGGTATTCCTCTCTCATCAAAAATACCACTTTATCTCTGTCACCTGACAGCACAAACACCAGATAAGGTGCATCAAATGCATGACTTCAACTTCAGCCTCACTTTGCATCAGTATGATTAAGTAATGTGACTCTTCCCAAAAAAAGGCTAAGGTCTTATCACTTCGTGAGTGACCTTCTCAGTTCTCCTCACTTGCATTCTTGGCTTTCAACTAGCCTCCCCTTTAAGCAGTGCAGGATATACAATTCACAAGTGACAAAGTTGACTCTAATAAGCTTGCAAAGCAACAGGTCCTTTCCAACAACTCTGAAGCAAAACGAATTCTGAACTGAGTTCAGAACACAAGGCTACCCTCATTGCTAGCAGCAGCTGACAAAGCCACCATTAAATGCTATTTACATGCCTCTCCCACTGACAGTCATGCCAAACCGTTGTATTCAGCAGTAACAGCTCTCCATTCTGCTATCCTGCATGTGAGCAAAATTATCACTCTTGTTCACAGTAAACTGAGGTCCAGTGTTTTAGGAATGTCAGTTTGCCACTGATTTTGAACAGTGACCTAGGCACTGCATGCACACTTCAACCAGGTGTAGAAAATGATCTTTTCTGTATTTTACCTCCTTAATATTTGTGTACCAGTGAGCCAGTTACTTCAAATTCTGAGAAATGTGAAAAATATAGCTATATACTCATTTAGCAACAATTTAATTTCTTACTGCAGCTGAAAAAAAATACGGCTCTGTTGATTTATAGCTGTATTTCATATATTCTGATAGCTTCCATCTTAACCCTGCTGCTCTTCTGAGATTTGAGTTTTCCCAGTTTTTGTGGCAGCTTCCCATAGGTCACAATTTACAGTTTAAGACACATATTCATGGGTCACGAATTACATTCACACTCAAGAGGCATAATCCCATCAGAAATAGTTGTCCAAATGCACTTTGCAGCATTGCTCCATTGGGGTGCTGCATAATCCTGCCCTTTGCCAAAACGGAATTTGGTATTTTACATGGAGATACAAATAAAACAAACAGCAATATTACTATGAAATGCACACTTTAGGTAGATCACTCATTTCTCTCACTTCAAACAACAAAGGCTCCTGAAGAGACTCAAAGAGCAGAGCAGGTCTTAATGTCACATGTAGCTAGAAATAAAAATCAAATTACGTTTTTTCTCCACCTTTAAGCCAGAGCACCTCAGTGTGGTTAGACTACCCGACTATGTGTTGTCTGAGATCTATGCCAAGATACAAGCTGTTCTGCTTCTTTCTATTGCCCTCTTCATTTTGTAACCTCTTTAGCACTTCTCAGTTAGAGCTGGTTTTAGAAGCAAAGTGCTTCTAAAATAGACAAAGAGCTACTGGATGAAAAGGAACCCATCATTTCTTTGTCTTTGAAGTCTCCTTGAATATAAATGTTAATCCTCTCCCCCACTTCTCTCATCAGTCTAACTCTTGTTTATTTATACATGCAGAGTCCCACCAAAAGTTTGTTCACTAGCTGACTCTCCGTTTGGTCCTGCCACACCACTCCATTCCTCTCAACCTTGAACGTACTGTGTAACTCTTTCAGGCGTGCCCTTTCACAAACACTACTGCATCTTCCAGGGGCAGACTCCTCACTTCAACCTAACCTCCCTACAGAGGAAATCTCTATCCCAGGCACTCAGCACTCATTGTTTTGTTTCATATCCCACCCAGAAGACTGACCATTTCCTTATTCAATACCTCAACTCCTGCCTCTGAAATCTTGGTCTTCTATTCTCTAACAGGAGCTGATAGCACTCTTTGCAGCTTGCATACCTTCTCCAATAGTGGAAAAAAAAAAAAAAAAAAAAAATTGGAGATTTAGAGCAAAGACAAGGGGGTGGGGGAGGGAAGAGGCATGCTTAATTCAAATATGTACTTAAGAATATGTACCTGAATTTACAAGATTTTGACCAATTGTACAGATACAGCCACACAGGCACTTGGGAAACATTGCCCCTTTTTTTCATCTTTGGTTCCTGCCCATTTAGAGTCAAACGCTTCACATTACAAGGATAGCAATGAATCCTTCACCTGGGAAGGCAAACAGAGCTGCCTGCTGGAATATATGGTTACTCCTAGTCTATCACACCTAAAATTCCTATCTCAGGCAACAAGAACTTCAAGGATGTTGCTCCTTGCCTTGTGCAGCACACAGTATTTACATTAATGTGTTGAGCCATATCAAAATAGAAAGGTACCTATTTTGAAAGCAAAAGGAACTTTGCATTCTAGGTCTCTAGGCACAGCTGCATAGGTATACACAACACAAAACCTTCACTTAAGTACTATTTTTAGCACTAGACTTTCAGCAAAATGAAAGCATATAGCAGATACTGTTTTGTAAGAGTTCACTGAGGAAAATGCCAAAGCAAAGGGATGAAGTGGGGATACGTATCTTCAGAGTCCACCACTATTTTTCCAGACTACTATTACTGAAGAATATGCATGTGTCTTTATTATTTCATTGCAGTCTGGACAGGAAATGCCACAGATGCTAGTGTCTTCACAAAATGTGCTTTGATTAGAATTGAAGTTACACTGTGTGTTATTAATATTTATTTTTCATGCCTAGCCAATAAGTATTTCTCACTATCAGCAAGGAGGAAAGAAGTTGAGTGCTAGCGAGAACCAAAAAGGTTCATGTCCTTTTTTCCCTCGCAGGTCGTACATTCTATAAGGAAATATATCAATACAGCACTGGCACTTGACAATTCGAAGCCAGCAGCATCAGCTACAGCCTGCAGCCGTGAACTCCAACCGTCAGCAATGCTGATCAGTCATGTATTTTGTGGTAATTTAATAATTAAATTATTCCCATACATCATCTCATCACAGGTGGAATAAGCCTATTTTTCTGGATAGTTTGGTGAAGTCATAACATTTTATAATTTGTGGCTTCATAACCATAAGCTGAAGTTTCAAAATAATGTTTTTCAAAAGATTGTGTTGAACACTTTGTTGGCATCCCAAACCAGGCAAGGAAGAAGAACTAAAAAGGTTACTGACAAAGATGTTCTCTCTTCACTCCCACCTTATTGTTTCCATTGAATTATATAGTATTTTCAAGTGCAGAAACTCTAGGTTAGTTTTGTGCACAGGCAGAGCTGGCCTTGAAAGAATTCAGCAAAAAAATTTAAACATTAACATGCCTGCCTCCAAATCTCTGTAAAACCAACTGAAACAGCCAATGAAACCACAGGTGACAGATCTGCTTACATTATTTGAGGACTTGGCTTTGTGTCTCCCAGTTTCATTCATTCATGTGTATTCTTGAAGTAAAGCTCAATCCGACACTTCAAAATCAGAGCCACAGTTTGAATTCATGAGTGATTAACTCACATTCCTAAAAAGTTCTCTTAGTGTGGTAAGAATAAAGCGTATCATCAATCCAATCTCTTGGGTTTTAGCTAGATTCATAAAAGGATTCCAGACAAGGTTAATGCACCATAGCATTAAAATGCAGCTGTATAGAGAACATAAGAATAGACAACTATAGAATTAATATGACTTCAGAGTAATTTTTTTAATCCCAATTAAAAGTGCATCATGAATAGCTTTTCACTAAGCAGATACTTAGAAGTTTTACAACAAAAGTAAGGACTCCACTACCAAAACTTAGGAAGAAATACTTGATTTTCTTAGCTACTGTTCACAAAGCCCTGAGGAGACTGCTCCCCAAATCCCCAAGAGATCTGCAGCATATAAGCTGAAAAGCACTCTGTGCAGACAATTTCTGGTAGTACTTGGTAGAAAACGAGGCACGGCATACCTAGGCAGCTTGTTCAGGTCACACTTACCTTCTCAACACCGTATGAGTTCCATATATTCTTCCCTTTTGGCAGCAACTACAAAGAGATACATGATTCTTCCTGGAAAGTATCCCACTATTGAACAGACAACAGTTTTTGCTAGCATGTAAGGTCAGACACCTGTTGTTCATCAGAAGTCATATAAACACTATTCCACTGCTGAAAAATGGGAACAGAATTACTAGGTAAGGCTTCAACCTATAGCTATAAACACCTCAGTCACTCAACATACGAAGTTACAAATGTCCAAAGCTACTAGCTTTTTTAGAAAGACCAAACTCAACAGTCTTTAATTCAAAAACATTTATAATAAGTAAACATTTCAGAATCAAAATTGGAGGGAGTAGACTGAAACACCCACAGACATTCTTGCTTTACTCTCCATCCTCCTAGAGAAGGAATGGTTATTCCTGATAGCGGTTTGATCAGTACAGAAGACTCCCACATACTAAAAGCTTTTGTCTTAGTTAGGTATTAGCTACGTAGTGAAGTACATTCAAGAAGTCCTTGTATCAATTTGGCATTTTTTAAGTACCTGGCAGCTGGTCCTTTTACAGATAACAAATAGCCCCTTTTTGCCTGCAGAGTGTTAAATCAAAATCCACCTCTTCCAGTCCATAAATATACTGAGAATCCTATTTAGCTGAAGTCTACTGGCTGACTTGGGTATTAACGTTAACTTCTCTAAAATGAAAGCATTATGAAAGACTTATTTTCTATTTAGTGGTATCACACCTTCTACTGATAGATTGGGGTTGTGCTAGTGATCACTTAGACATTATACACATATTTTGAAAGAATAATTAAGATACACGCTGTCTGGAAAAACATCACAGATGTCTAAGGATAGAAAGAAAAAGTAAAAGGCTTTAATACATTTCACTATTTTGTGCAGATAATTATTTAACAGACTACGGCCAACCAATGAAGAAACAAAATACAAATACAAACGTTTCAGTCTTTCTCACTCTTTTCTCAAGACACTTGACTTGTACTTTGAGCTTAAGTAGTAGTTAAGTAGTTAATTCACTGATACACAACCTAAGCAGAAAATAATTTTTCAGTTGTACCACTAAATCATTAATATCATTAGTGGTACAACAGCTCAGTGCTGTACCACTAATATTTTCTTGGTTACTGTAGAGATAAATTTGTAATCCAGGTAATTCGAGTACAACAGTAAAAACTCAAAGCATCCCCAAGCTGTGTTCAGGAAACATTGCATATAATAGCTTTAGATTAAATTAGAATTTGTTTTCATTGCTAGCATTGCAATGATGGGCAAAAATCATCTCTAAAAGTCAATGTACATTAAAAGGAAGATTGTTACATTCTGTGATGACTAAACAAAATAAATGACAAGTAGGTACCAAGAAGTAAGATTCAAAACTCTACAACCAGAGCTTATTTTCAATAGAAAGGCAGGAGTGCAGATTTTTTTGGGTTGGAATAACTTCATTGTTTGCTTGATATCTCAAGTTATGAACTTCTCTTCCTCATAAAGTGAATAAATCCAAAAAAGTCCTTACTGAACAGAAATAGCTCAGTCATTACAATCTACTCAAGAGCAACAGAATGCCAATATCTTCAGATGCTTACAGCTGTATTGTAAAAGCTGGTTCAACAAAGGTAGGAAGGTGAAATTTCGCTTGATAAAGTCTCATTGCAGTGGACAAAAATGAAGCTTGCATTTTGTTTGCTGGCAGAAAAAGAATATTCAATTTACAAAAACGCATATAACAAAACCAAACATGCAATCTATTGCTTTTAAAACTTTTACTGCAACATAACATTGACTTGAACAGTAATTAGGTATCTATCATTTTTCCCAAAAAGCAAAGATGTAAACAGGATCGTAATTTTACCTGTATGTATATAGCTTCTCAGATCATTTGAGGGGGGCAAAGGAGGGGGTAGTGTTTCTCAATGATCAAGAGACTTTTAACTGAAATGGGTTTTCATTTGGGAAAAAAAAAAAGCCAACATTGTTTTAATCCAGCATTAAACAAAATACTGTGCTTCTTGCACTACTTTACCACATCTGAAAAAGCAAAATAACTACCCATATTCTGGCATTTATGTTTACATTGCTCAGATCGTTTAGATTTCACAAAGCTGCTATCCAGTGTTGCCATGAAATACAGACTGTAGAATCTAGGTAGCACATGCTACTTCCAATACCAATACTAAGTAGAAAGGAACATGAAGCAGGGCATTACACTACATTTCTGGAGCTAGTACAGTAAGAGTGAAAACCTAGAAAAAGTTAACCTACAGTTTATAGAAGGAGCTAATTATCTGCAGAAGCTGATTTTTGGTTGTATATTATTTTACACTGTGTGATTTTCTGCATCTGCTAATTTAAAGCAGACATACTTGCTGCTTTCTTTGCTTTGTTTCCTATATTGCCTTCTCCCCCCATCCCCATATACCATACACCAAGCATTATGAATATAAGCCCAAGTATCCCAGACAATCCAGTGAACAAAGTTAGTGTAACGCACTGGTGTGAGGTGTGAAATAAAAAAATGTCTCTCAATCTTCATCAAAGTTCTGCTGTAGAAGAAAGTTGGCAGCCAAGTTTTCATTCTTCTCACAAGCAAAATACGCTTGTATCACAAGTCCTTCAGGAAATCCTAATGCCTTTAACTGAAGAAAAGAAACACATTTAGAAAGTACATTTTGTATATTAAGCTTCTTTGTATGTCTAGTATCTTGAGATGCCACTTAAGCAATTACTGCCTTCTTGAAACAAACATTGCTGCCTAGCTCAATACAGCCTGCAGCAAGCAAAGAATAAGAAGGTGATGCCTCTGTCTTTAGTAAACAGAATTCTCACTTGAAAAAGTAATCTGAGTGAGTCCAATGAAGCACTGTAAAACGTCACTTTTCTTTCACTGCCACAGTAAGTCACTAAACCAGACTTGGGTCACCGTAATGTCAGGAAGTAATGGCACATTGCACTGATGCAGAAAAAAACTTCAAACAATGCCCATTTTAAACTATTAATTATACAATTAATAGTTAACAGGATTTTTAACAAAAGTTGCCTGGAACAAAAGCTCCCAGCCTGTGATCACTAGTAAGTAGCCCAACACATCACATTAAGCCGTACTTCCAATTGTTCCAACTGGACTTTCACTTTTTAAAAAGTTGACTACACACTGCAGCCATGAGAAGTAAGTTGAAAGCAATCTGTTTTTCAGAAGTCAAGGAACTAATTAATGTCTGGGACACAATGACAACAGGGGGTGAGAATACTAGAGAAGAGCTTATTACTGTGCCAAGGGAAATGGGTTTAGCCTGCACTTAAAAGACATTCAGCAAACCAATCTTTGTTTTAGCCAAAGGCAAGTACATACAACCACTTGGAGATTTTCGTAAAATCCTCACAGCACCTGCAAGGCATTTTACATACAGGGCAGATCAAATCTCGGCAAGAAACTATGTCCTATTATCCCTTATCAATCATTCTTAGATTTAATTTCATGCTTACAAACAGCATGAATGTGTCAGCTGTAACACTAAGACACCTAAATTTTGAGGTGTGTCTTTCATGGAAAGGGGAAGAAGCATACAGGTCTTTGTTGGGTTTTGGAACAGGTTGTAGAGGTAATGCTCTACTGCATAAAATGGTTTTAAAAGGAAATGCAGCAGACTAGAGAGGATGATCTGTGAAGTAGTACATGGACAAACAGTTTTATTAGACTGATTTTACTAATTGTCAATTTCCTTGAGATCTAGAGAATTGACACGTATATTAAAATTGTTCTTTTCTGATGATCCTTACATAACCTTTTGCTTTGCCAGTTGAAAAACAGTCTTTGATATATAAAAACACTACCACAGTATGACATAAGTATTTGCAATTTGTTCTAAGAAAAATCTCAGAGGCATTGTCATCTACGCAAATCTGTATTTAGTCAGTGCTACACACAGTATTTATGAATGCAATATACCGCCCCCAAGTATATTTTTATAGGCACGTTTACCTGTATTTTTAGAAAACTGTAATTAACTAATTCTCATGGATAGACAAATAACTGGGTTAAGTAGTGACTTCAACTAATCTACTTAACTATGAGAGCTCTTACTATCCAAGTACTTTGCAAACAGTGCTCATGCAGACACACCTTTGTACCTGGAAACCTATCACAGCACACTCTAGGACTACAGTACCGTCCGAGGCTTTTGCAAGAGGAATTACTGCCTGAGTTCCCATTCCTGAGGGAAACCCGTTCAATCATCAATTATTACAGATGGCCTCTGATCACTTAAAAGGCTCTGCATCTTCTCAGTAAGACAGATTCAAGAGATTTTAGACTCAATTGGTATAAAGCAAGAAGAATGTGATTTGAAACAAGACTACAACAGCTATGAAACATGAAATATAAAATATCAAAAATTATGCAGAACTACTGAGCATAAACAAACAAAGTTTAAGTTAAGGCATGTATTAAGCATGCACCAGAGTCAGCACCCTACAGCAACAGCCAAGCAACATTTCAAAGAAGAAAGGCTCACCCTTTCTATAGCTTCTTTTTCTTGAGGTGTTACTTGAATGTAGTTCATATGACCATTTCCAGCTTCTGCTACTCCTCCAGTGCTGGCACCATCATCACTGCCACTTAAACCTTGGCGGGACTCTAGAACTGGCTCATTCAACATATGAATAAAATGTTCCTGGTGTTGGCTTATTTGCTGTGATACATGGGAGAATAAAATAAATAAACATATTGAAATAAAGCATGTTTAAGCCTGCCAACAGGCAAGTAAGAATATTTATTTCCAGTGAATTAAGTAGTCAAAAGAATGTGTACAAAGTGCATAGAGAAAAATGATTAAATCTAACCGTAAGAAATGCAATTTCATGTTTCAGTTCAATTGCACTGACCCTTCCCTCTTCCTGATGCCCTTTGCATGTCCTATAAAGAGACTAAGACTCATTTCTAATGTCATAGAAAATATGTTCTGTACAACAACTGCTGAAAAGCCAACAATAGAATGTTGTAACTGCTATTAACACACTATCCCAGTTAACATCAACATATCCCTTTCTTGTAAAGCTCAATCAAAATTAGCAACATTATTTTATTGTCCTAAGATTCACCTGCAGTAGTTGAGGATTTTCCCGTCCAATCTGCTGTAGCAATGCCGGTAACAGAGAAGGATTTTGCTGAATAATTTGTCTCATCTGCTGGAACTGAGGCTGATTTCGTAAAAACTCAAGCGGATGTCCTGAAAAATCAATGAGAACATGTTTTTTAAAAAGCTACCAGGATTCTTAATAAAATACATACCTACACTATAACTGTAGATAGAAGCAGGACATGAAAGTGGACAACACACTCCTCACTGAAGAACAGAAGAGTTTGCTTCCTCACACTAACTTACTATAGCTTTAAGCAAGAATTCTTTATACTAAGGTTAAACAATGCATTTTCTTTTCACCCAGCCTTCTCTTAAGATGCAACAGCCTTCTGTCCTTGATCTCCAGCACTTTTCTCTTTGTCTCATCTCTGAGCAACCTTATTCAGAGGCACCTTACCCAGCCTACTGTCTTGTCTCTATGCCTACAACAGAGTTCTCTACCTCCTGCAATAGGTCAGTTCTGTCCTCAAGTGAGTTTTGCCTTCCTATATAGAATCATAGAATCATTAAGGTTGGAAAAGACCTCTAAGATCATCGAGTCCAACCGTCAACCCAACACCACCATGCCCACTAAACCATGTCCCTAAGCGCCTCATCTACCCGTCTTTTAAATACTTCCAGGGATGGTGACTCAACCACTTCCCTGGGCAGCCTGTTCCAATGTTTAACCACTCTTTCAGTAAAGAAATTTTAGAATACATGTAAGATAAGAATATGTATCCTATACTGTTAGGTACTGCCTTGAACGCAGCAGTGTCTAAAGTGCTCTGAAATATCCCATTCCCCCCATTCTTTCTTTACGGATGATGTCACGTGTGCCTGTCGCAGCTACCTGTATGTTTAACACTCTGGCCCCTATCAAGGCTTACATCTTGAACACCATCTCTGCCACAGCCTAAGACAGATCTTTCCTACTCCTTGGTTATGCTCCTTTCATGTATATATTTCCCTTTAAGACAAAGTTCTCTTCAGCAGGCATCAACCATTCTGTCCATGCACTGCACTGCTGCGTAAGGAGTCCTAGGTCATGGATAGGTCTCTCAGGTACTACACCTCATGGCTTTATTGCAGGTTTCTCCCTTGATATTCCAACTTCCAAGCGGTAAATGCATTAGTATAGTCACAGCCAACAGTGCATAGTTAGCCACAGAAGGAGGAAGCCAGAGTTAGTGAGAGAAAACACAACCCCCTCCACGTTGGTGGTCTTACATTTAAATCCAGAATACTGAACCAAAGGAATTGTGCAAGTTCACAGCATTTTTAGAAACTTCATGCTTTATTCCAGATATATCCACATACAACAAGCCATTTGCTCCAAGCAAGTACCATACTTGGAATTTCCCTGTTACAGCTCTTACCCAATTCACTTTGATCAGTTCACAAGCACCAGGAACTTAAAATTCACTGAAGCAGAGAATGCTCAAGTGCATGTGTTTATCACATCCTCTCAAATATATCCTTTCTTACCTCCTAATGAACTAGCAGTCGTAGGTATAGTTGCTACTGCTGCTGCAACTGCTGAAGACTGAGAGGCACCAGTGCTTGCTGCTTGAGGGGGTTCAGCCACAGCCTGATTATCTCCAGGTATACCCTAAAGCCACAGTTCACATAATTACCTACAGAATGCTAAAAGATATTTGTTTTACTGCATGTATTATTAAGTTTTCAGAACGAAGGAAAAAACATTAATGCTTTCACTGCAAATATAAAGCAAGATGCTGTGACAGGTATGCATTTACAACTGAAAGAGATACTGTGAAAAGAGTAATTTATTTTTTGACAAGAAAAATATGTGATTTGTATAGCGAGGTAGTAAAGCATGCACTGCATCAAGTTTAAAATACATTTTACTCCATAAACAAATACTTGCTCTGAATCCTGTTCTAAGATATTTGATATGAATCATAGAATCATAGAATCATTAAGGTTGGAAGAGACCTCCAAGATCACCGAGTCCAACCGTCAACCCAACACCACCATGCCCACTAAACCATGTCCCTAAGCGCCTCATCTACCCGTCTTTTAAATACTTCCAGGGATGGTGACTCAACCACTTCCCTGGGCAGCCTCTTCCAGTGTTTAACCACTCTTTCAGTAAAGAAATTTTTCCTCACATCCAATCTAAACCTCCCCTGGCGCAACTTGAAGCCATTTCCTGGCGCCCGAACAGGGACATGAACCCTGGACCCTCAGATATGAGTGAAAGTTAAACTAAATATACTGTTACAATATGTTATAGTGTTACGCAAATAAAGTTACATTACAGCAAGAGAATTGTAGTACACATTGCTAACAGTGAGATTATAGATGTGATGCAATCTGGCAAGAAATTAAGAAGAGATATAAGAACATGGCTCTTTGGACCTCTTTCCTCAACGCAACAGCATGACAACTGTCATTTACTGTATCTTAGATATGTGACACGTCTCTTAAGTGTGAAGGGGCCTCTATGTTTTCAAATTTTAGCAGTTAAAAAAACCAGTTAACTTGCATTTTGTTTATTTTCCATGTGCAAACAACTTTATATAGCAACTGATTGCTCAGGGGGATGAAACTGGCAAATCCAAAAAAGAACAATTATAGTAAATTAGAATGTGGGTTATACAACCAAGACAGACCTTACTCTATTACCTTTCTCCTGCATGGGAATCCTTCAAACTTCCCACCCTAACCATGCTTCCTCCACTGTCACTTAAGTCCTGCACCAAATCTGCCCTTTCCATCCTCCTCCCTGAAGCCTAGAAACTTGGGCAGCTTGGCATGAGACAGACACCAACAAAGATTCCTATATGACTACAAGCCCTGGCGGTACAGACAAGGGACGCTGCCCAACAGGAACCCAAAAGAGGCAGACTCCACAGAGCACGAAAACTCCTGATGCACACAGAGTAATGGTGGGGGAGCTATGTTAAACCCAACCCCAGATGGGCAAGACTATACAAGATCCTCTACCTCACAACACTCATTTTCCAGGGCATCAGAAGACTCCGTTTTTCTACTGCCTTCCAGCGTATTCAATCCAGGTAAGTCTGAGAAGGCAGCAGCACTGGTATAACTGAATATATTTCACCCGCCTCAAATGAAGAAGGCACCCTTCAGTTTGGGAACCACAAAACATAAGGAACAGGGTGGGTGGAAATAATCATAGAACTTCAGCATAACCAGACAATGAAGAGGTTTGGCAAACCTACCATAGGAATTCACTGGAAGGTAATGTAGATTAAAAATCCTGCTATAACATGTTCTTCACATAATACGGTGAATTTGTTCATCACTATAGCTGAACAAAAAGGACAAATACACAGCTAATATAAAGGCCACATCTAGAAAGGGGGAACCGGACAGTGCTCCAGGCAAAACTTTGCCTCACCTGTGAGATAAGCAGCACATCAATGCATAAATCACCTAATCATCAAGTCCGTGTTTAAGCCACTCAGAGGAATAAATGCAAGTTTTCCCTGTCACACACTTCATTACCATTATACGGCTTGGTCAGCTTGCTACACATCCCTCTCTCCACAGAGGGGGAAGAAAATTCCATTCATGACCTAGTTCTGAAGTAATTCTCTCATATCAGTGTCTTACAGAGCACCGCTTAAGTACCTTTTCCCATCAAATCAGTAATTTCTGGGAATCTAAGTATAATGGAGGAACTTGGGTTAATCTTATGAAATTACTGGTTGATTTCACCTATTCACAGGTTTATGTTGTCACTGCAATCTGTGCCCAGATCAAACCTTAAGTTTGCTCTTGAATGGAAGCACTATGGAAACTAGTCCAACCAAATTTACTTAGAGATGGTTTGTCATCTTGAACATCAACTTAACTCTTAAATACAAGCTTCAAGTATCACTCTCCAAATAACCAAGACTGAGTACAATTGTAATCAGACAAGACTAGTGAGGTGTATGCACCTTGTTCGTACAGCTATCCAACAGAATAAAGCATATCAATTCACATACAATTAATTTTGAATGCAAACATTGCTTGGACAGCAAAAAGGCCATTTTTGCCTTACGGTGGATTAAACAATTGTTTGCTGTTTAACTGAGCACCAGAGCAGTTTTTAACTGACATTGTTCTCCACAGGGTAATAATCACATCAGGCCCAGCCCAAGGAATGTACACATTTAGAACAGAACAGTTCCAGTTGGAAGGGACCTACAATGATCATCTAGTCCAACTGCCTGACCACTCCAGGGCTGACCAAAAGTTACAGCGTGTTATTAAGGGCATCGTCCAAATGCCTCAAACACTGACGGGCGTGGGGCATCAACTACCTCTCTAGGAAGCCTGTTCAGTGTTTGACCACCCTCTCGGTAAAGAAATGTTTCCTAAAAATTTCCAATTTCCACTAAGTGGTCTGGTTGTTGGAGGAAAGACAGGACTCCTTCCTAATTTAGGGTTAAGAAATCCTTGGGTCAGAAAGAGATCTGAATCTAAATGCCCCCAGTGATGAGCCGGGGGCACAGAAAAGGAAACAGTGTCTTTTGGAATTGAGACTTCCTTCCATGACCACAGCTCAAGAACATAGTGTCCTCAGCCATGAAGCCATGAAAATGGAACAGCTTGTCATCTGAACCATGGACAACAAGTGGAATCTTCAGGGCTCCTTTAAGGAACAGCTATGCTTTAAGCATAGACACTCTCTTGACATTTTCTTTCCAACACTTTACAGGTACCTTTGGTGTACTAATTCTTTAAACTGGGACACTGGTATATACTTCCAGCTCTCAACATCCTAATCCTACCCTGCAGATTATGTAAAAGATAACACTGATGATGGTTTGCAGGCAGGTAGAGGGTCAAAGAACAGTGTCATCAATGGACCAGTATTAACTAAAGAGAAGCTTTTTTGATGCAGCAGGATGGTAAGTAACATGTTTAGAGCCCAGCAGATCAAGAAGAGTTAGAAAGACCATCTGCAGCAACAGGATTCTTCTAGAAGGACAAGTCAAGTCTGCCAGCTAATATGGTCTCTAAGAGCAAGACTGTTCCTCCCCATTCCCTTTTCCAGCAGGAAGAAGAGGAAGAACAAAGAAAGGATATTCTCAGTAAAGGGTAACATGAAACAGAAAGGGACCAGCTTATATAACAGAAGGACCCATTTTAAACACACAGCCTACCGAAGGAGTAGAAGTGAACTGCTCAGGCCAGTCAGACTTTATCTATTTGGCAGATGTGCCATGTGTTGAACTCCATCACAGGGATGCTCTATTTCTATTTAGGACTTCCTGAACAGAAATAAGCTAAAGCAGGGAAATACCAGACTGAGTGTACAAGCACTGCACACTGTACATGACTGGCACATGCACAGCAAGCCCAACACTTCCAGGAGGCACTGGATTTATGGTATACGTACAGACTAAATGAACAGTAAAATCAACATTTTTAAGGTGTGAAAAACAAACGTTTGAGATTCCAGACATTTGAGGTTCCAGACTTATGGCAGATAGTTGGGAGCTACTGTATTCGCTGTCGGGGCAAGACAATATTTATCACCTCTCGTTGGCCTAATACTAGATGAGAACTGAACTTTTTACATTCATGTACTCAAAACATTTGTTGTCTGTTTAAAAAATGCAGGTTACAAAGTCTTGGGATCATTAATCTAAGTAGCAAGCACGCCAGTTACTTGTAGTTATAGCTACTGAAGAAAAACTTCATAAACAAAAGGAAAGTTTTATAACCGAAGGTAAAGATGTCAGTTTTCTTATCAATCTATCAGAAATTCAATCCACATATATTTTCCAAGGACTGGTTCACGATATCTGGCCTCAAGATTTTAATAAAGTTCAGATTTGGAACAAGGAAAAACCACATCAGGGAAAAAATGGTATGCTAGAGTGAAAACTAAACACACCGGCAATAGCGATGAAGCAACAAGCTCCCAGACCAGATTTTCTGGTGGTTACAATTCACCTGTCAGATTCAGCTATACAATAAGAAGTAATCCAAAAAGCTCCTAAAACAACTCGCAAGATTTCCATTAAAGTGAAGCTATTCTTCTATTTCCTCTCACATCAATTAAGTTCATTTCACCCTTCAAACTGTATTTATCAATTAAGAAATTGTTTCTTCTCCAAAACACTGCTTAAATTAAAACACCAGTTAAATTAAGCACACTTCAAAAAACTCTCAAACCTTTCTGTTTGGAAAATGTATTATTAAGAACACTGTGCATTATTAGTAAAAACAATAAACCGGAACTTAAAAAAAATGCCTTTGTGATGTTATAGACACTCATACAAAAAGGGAACTAATGCTGTCACTAAGAGGTGACACAAATTCATTCCTTGAGCCAGCCATTGGCAGTTAAAACTATCACTGTAACTGGACATACTTTACATACATATCCATACAAATCAACAAAGAATAAAAGCAAAGAAGTGATAGAGGTAGTTAGGGATGACTTCATGTCCTGGTTTCGGCAGGGATAGAGTTAATCTCCTTCCCAGTAGCTGGTGCAGTGCTGTGTTTTGGATTTAGGATGGGAACAAAGTTGATAACGCACTGATGTTTTAGTTGTTCCTAGGTAATGCTTACACTAGCCAAGGACTTTCTAGTTTTCCATGCTCTACCAACTGAGAA